TATATATATATATATATATATATATATATGGGGTAACTCTGGATCTTTCTCTGTACATATATGCTTGTATATTCTAGGTGCATTGAGCTTATTGAAAGAATAAAATTTCAGCAGCTATTTACTATAAGGGAAACATTTAAATACATGTAGTTACAAACTATTGCTTAAGCATTCTTTCTTCCTTCACAAAAGGTCATTGGTCTTCTTGTTAGGGAATATTCTCTTTTTACTGTCTCCTAAAATACAATGTAGCTTTGCTTTTCTTCCTTATTACCTGGTCCCAAATATAATCTCCACATGTGCTCTATCTTTGTAGGTGAAATACTTCCTGCCTCAGTGAAATCTAGCTCCCAAATGAATTTCTGTTGGTTTGGAGAGCAACTTGAGGATTTTGCATTTGGCACCATTCAATTTCCTTGGCATCTCTCCATAGTCACCATTTAGAAAGCTCCTGGTCGGCAGGATTTCTCTCCATCATACACTCTGTGGAGATTAAAAAAGGATTGTATTACATTGGCTTGAAAATGTGATGGAAATGAAATTTGCTTTATGAAGAAAGAAAGCATTTGAAACTCAAATTGTTCCAATAGGATCCTTATACAAGGGATAGCTCTTGGTGGAGTAAAATGGTGCAAGTTCCTTCTTATTTGATTGCCGCTAAGTAAATATTAGTGTTTAAAATCACAAATAAAGCAAGTTACAAAACAATGATTATATTTATGTTCTAAAATATATGGGTGTATAGGTATATACTTATAATGCAATCTTGGATTAAGATCTTCAGAAAGGTCCTAAGCACTGAGTAGCTTATGGTGCATATGAATAATATCCAATTGTTTACCTTAAGATTAAAACCATGTTAAAATTAAATAAGTATAAGGCAGCTCCCAAAAATTCTGATTTTTTATTTTTTTGTGTGTGTGTGTCTATGCATTTGTAAAAACATCAAACTATAAAAATTTCTTTTCGGTCCTGTTTTGCTGGTGTCTTAAGTACAAACTTCCTCTGCCTATTAGGGAATTCTGTTTCATTTATGTGAAGGTAAATGCACAGAAACAGGTCTGGAAAGAAACATACCAAATCATTAACAGTGGTTACACCTGTGGAGAGCAGTGGGCCGGGGAATGGGGAGCATTGTGCTTCTCCATTTTATTTTATATTTTTCCCTAATCATCTATAACCAAAATGTAGTCATTTATTTCATGCACAATTATTAAAAACAAACAAACAAATAAGTAAACACACCGGGAAAGTAAAATTCTTCACCTTTTCTCTTTCTATCAAAGTTTAATATTAAAGTGCTTATATTTGATAAATGTTGATGTAATCTAGAGAGGGGCTCAAATCATCCTCCAAATTGAATATGTTGATTTTTCTTCCTCTGTTATCCAATGACATGGTTAGATAGCTGCCCACTATTAGTTATTTTCCAGATATTGCTGCTAGGCATCATCACCACTAACATTGAATGAGCTCTTACAGTCTGCCAGGCACTGGTACAGAGCTCTGTGTGTACTAACGCAGCAATCCTGCGAGGTGGAATTATGATTACTGTCATTTTACAGTTGAGGACATAGAGGCTGGAAAGTTGACTATGTTGAGCAAACGAGGTCACACCGCTAGCAAATGATGGCACTGAGATGGCTCTCTGGCAGACTGAGTTCATATTCTGCCTCGGAAAGAAGGAGGGAGTGGAACCAGTCTGTGGTTTGAGAGTTTTACTTTATTTCATAGTTGGCATATACACTTTTGTCTAATTGGGAGCTGACTAAAGGCATCTGGGTCTGGTTGATGTGTTGGTTGAAAATTACTATTATTACGAGGATGATTATTATAGCATTTAGTAATTATGCAGTGCTTTATACTTCAAAGAACAGCGCTTTAAAATCATTTATTAGCTATGACTCACAACATCTCTATGATATAAAGATACACTTATCATGCATATTTTGCAGAAAGAGAAACTGAGGCAGAGTAAGCTGAGCCACATCTTCATAAGGAAGAGTGAAGGTGGAATGCAACCTCTTACATTCCTGACACTCCATAAACGACTCATTCTGAACAACAGAAATTTAATTCTTTAAACCTTTTCAAGGAAGGGGTCAGTTCCAATATTTTTCCTCAATATTTCATTACAAACTAAATGTAAAATATACTAAAAATTGATGACCACTTCCTTTTAGGGTCTCTATTTTGGAGCGTTTACTTCATTCATGTCAATGTGACATTTTTGCTCAAATTCATCCTTGCTGTCTCCCATTTCTCCACACAAGCACAATTTGACTACAGATATTGGTTTTCAGTGTCAATATTACATTGCTTCAAATTGCTTCCGTTGTTTTTAAATGATGCCTTTTGTTCACCACATGCATGGGACTCTTCATAACGTGCAATAAAAACAAACTTTATGCAAGAATTATACTGGAATTAAAGGAAGTCTTAGATGTCTGGTAGTTTGTATACTTCAAAACTGAAGATTATAAACATGTCAATATGACTTGGGGTGGGAGAAGGAGAGAGATGAGAAGGACCTCTGTGGGTTTATTACAGCACCCTATAAAAGGCCTGGAAGAAATACATGCACTCGTCCATAAACCTGGTTGTCACTTTTAGTTGAGAGGCAGTCATGACCATAGCACATGGGAAAGGCTCAATAAATATTAATTTAGTGGTTAAGACCATGTCTGTGGAGGCAGACTGCCTGGATTCTAACCCTGGCTCCATTACTTGCTAGTTACCTGAACTAGCTGTGCTATGTTTCACAATCCAGAAGGGGAAAGAAAAAAAAAGAGGATCACACTCCATGAAGTTAGTTATTATGAAATTTAACTTATTCAAGTATTTGCTGTTATCTGTCTTTTCTATTTCCAAGACAAGTGACAAATAACATTAGCTAGTACTCCATTAAAATGGCGGTGATAATGATATTTATAATTTGATGTCTGCACTTGTCTGGCTTGTTTAGAAATGGTACAACATGGTACCCCACAATTTTCTATCCCAGAAAAACAATTTAAAATTACCTCAAAATACATTGGAATAAATAGTTATCAGCACAATGTAAAATGTATAAAGCAGAATTTTATACTTATTTCTCTAAAACATCCATATGATCCCACACCCCAGTGGCTCCAAACTCAGTGCCTACCAAGAAGATTTCACATGTGAATGAGTCCAACTCACTCTACTACCTGAGCAAATCTGCTGCATCTGAGCTGAAGATACTGATGACTTGTAGGATGGACGCCCAGTCTGCCGGTGTCTAAATTTTCAAGAGACCCCAGAAACTAGGATTATTTTTTTTAATGTGACATGTCTCAATTTAAATTTTTTTGGCTCAATGTATTCCTTGGTACAAAGAAATACATTTCTCTGCCAATTATACCAGTACCTACACACAAGTGCATTGTGCTGTTATTCATATCAGCAAATGCTTTTCAAGCACTTGTGCCAAGGCACAAATACAAGGTGAGGAAGACAATATAAGACAGTCCTCAAGAAACTCACAAGCCTAGTGGAGAGATAGGTAATAATGTCACAGGACAGAGTGTAAAATGCCATTGCAGTGTGGAACCCAGGGCGTGAGCCTGGTGGCTTAAGTATTTGATCAGGCCCACTTTCAATAAAACAAAAAAACAAAGAACCTCATTATTTGAAAGTTTGGCAAATTGTGGACACCCAAGTAGATGGTTCTTTTGTTTAACAAAACACCTTAATGGATTTTGGGGGTGGGAGCTATGCAGAGACTGGGCCACAGCCTTGCACAGTGCCAGGGGAACAACTCCTATTGGGGCCTGTGCAATTGGCACCCCTTTGAGCACCACTCAGGTTGTAGTCATTGAGAATGATACCTCCTGGAATTGTGCAACCCAGTTGAACCTGTCAATAGACGTAGGCCTGAAGTCTGGCCTGAGAGGAGGATTGAGCTAAATCCTTCCACATGACAAAGTAAGAGGCATTTTAAGTCTTCACCTAGTGGACAGAGGCTGGAAGGTGGAGGGGTGCCTGTAATGGGGAGAAGAAAAGGGTTTGGAGAAAACATCTCTAGGAGGAGGATGAGCCAGCAACTTGGCAACAACTTGGATGGAACCCATGAACCTGGTGAGAAATTCCCCATAATTTTGAAAAGAGACACATAAAATCCTCTGTCATTTTCTCTAACCCCCAGGAGATACTGACAAATGAAGTCAAACAACTTTTTCTTTGGCATCAAATATAGCCTTTGAACCCCTTGTGTATGAATTAGGAGATAACCAGGAAAGGTTCAACACGTGAGCTCACCTAGCAACACTTGGCTAAACATAAAATACTATAATAACTTGCGTTTTTACTGTTTTTCTTCAAAAAGCCCAAAGCGCTTATACTTTTATTTCCTCATTTGTTCTAACATTCCAGTGTGGGAGGGGCAGACTTATGATAACATTATTTATAGATGGAGAAATTGAAACAGAAATGACATCACTTACTCAATGTTGCATAGTTGGGGTGACAGAGCCCACACTGGATTTTGGTTTTCCAAGCTCCTGCCACGAAATGGAAAGATCATGAGTTTTGGAATTACAGGGATCTTTGTTTGAATAATCCTGATTTCTGGCCCTTAATAAGAATGTGGCCTTAAGTCAATTACTTCATCTAAGTCTCCGTTTTTCTGTTTTGTAAAAATAAGACCATAAAACTTCACAGTAGTGAAGATTAATTTAGAAAATGCATGTGAAAGCCCTGGCACAGAGTAGTTCTCAAAAGAGATTAGTTCTACCCCCAATCTAACATTATCTAGGTAAATTTTACTACAAATTTGAAGTAATAAAAAAAAAAGAATCCTACATTAATACTAATTTTTTTTCTAGCCTCATCTCCCACTGAGAGCAAAACATGAATACAAATGCTTCAATACGTCATTTAATTCAACGGAAAAACATTTGTTTCAGTAGGGTTATTCCTGCTGGGGGAAATTAGGAAAAAAAGAGGAATATGTGGAAGATAAGATGGTAGAATGCAGTGGTTCTAAAACTTGAGAATGTACCAGAATCACCTGGAAGGCCTATGAAAACACGGATTTCTGGGCCCCGTCCCAGAGTTTCTGATTCACAAGGTCTGGAGTGGGGCCTAATAATTTGCATTTGTAACAAGTTCACAGTTGATGTGGATGCTGCTAGTCCAGAGACTAGACCTCAGAGAAGCACTAGTATGGTAAAGTATAATTCTGGGGGTGGGGCCCTGCAATCTGTGGTTTACCAAGACCTCCAGGTAATTTTGATGCACTCTAAAGTTTGAGAAACACTGGCATAGTGGTGAAAAGCATCTGAGGAGACAGACCCATCCTTGAGTTCCTGGCTGCACCATTTACTAGTTAGATGACCAGGCTCAATGACAAACATTTAGCACTTCTGCCTCTCTCAGGGAGCCTGATAATGTCTGAGATTCAGGATTCCTCTCCCTCTCCCTCTAAACCCTTGGTGGAAAGAGAAGTTAGTGAGTCCTGCCCACCCAGACCCTGTATTTTACTCCTTCACACTCTAAGGTACGAGAGACTGCTTAAATTGGGATATTAGGGAAGTATTTACAAACACTTCTGCGTTCACAAAAATTGACAAGATAGAGCTGTAAATAAAGCCAACAGCAGAGGCACTGTTTGCATTCTTAAATTTGGAATAATGGGTTCTGAACATTTCCATTGCCCCTGCCTTTCTAAGTAGAAAAAACTTAAAAATCTTGTTCCCCCCCGTTTTCAGAAATGCTTGTAAATACGTTTTCACGGAGTCTACTGTATCTGGCCTGAGATACAGAATCTACCTCAGAAGTTTGATGCCTTCCTGAGTTTGTGGCTAAGGAATTCCCCCCTCCCCCTTTCTTTCCCTGCCTGGCAGCTGACTCTGTGGGTCCTTTTACCATCTTGACTTACAGCCTTACAAGTATCCAGGCTGGCCTCAGGACATTCTTTGGCTCACCACCTATCTTCATTTTTCCCAATGCAAAAAACCTCTACTCTTCCTTTATTTCCTTAACTAACCTTTTCTATTGCCTATTGCTAATCCACAGTTTTTCAAATTACCCCCTGCTAGAGTAACTCCACTGGAAGAAAAATTGTTTTTAGTGATAATGAGGTATGAGCATTGATTTTTACCCAGTCCTACGTTGGTACTAGGTACACTGAAGTGTTTATCGTGCATTTTCATTTTAAATTCCTACAACAATCCAGAGATCACCGGTATATATGTTTACGCGCGCGCGCACGCACACACACACACACACACACACACACACACACACACACACACACACACCAAATATATTACAAATGATGAAACCGAGGCTTAGAAAGGTAAAGCAACTTGCTCAGGGTGAGAAAGAAAAAGTAAGTAACAGATAACAGGATCCAGGTAATAAGATTCCAGAGCCCCTAGCTCTTGGTCTCCATTGAAATTCCAAGTGATGATGGACTGCAGGGACATAATTTGATCCCTGTACTTAGAGAATTAAAAAATCTTGTTAGGGGTAGATGAGATTTATACACACACCACCAGTTAAAATCAAGAGCCAACGTTTGTGGTATGTGGTTTGGTGTTTTTGACAGGTTTCCCCTTTTTCAAGATGTACATTAATAGCACCAATCTCAAGGGGCTTGGGGACGATTAACTGAGTGAAGCACCTCAAGCACTTAATACGGTGCCTACCTACCACGTAGTAAGCGTTCAGTAAATGTTAACTTTTATTTTTAAAGGAGGCAGATGGGAGTGGAGAGAATACTGGAGAGAGACGGGAGGCAGGGTGTTTGCGCTGGACCCCTGGTACCTAAATTCTCCGGGCCTCGGTTTGCTTGTCTGAAACGGAACAACACGCAAAGCAGCGGTAGCCAGGGGAACCGAGGGTCGGTGAGGCAGAAAGGTTGATTGACCGGTCCGGGGCGGACTTGCGGGCGGCCCGCAGGGGAGGCCCCGCCCCGCCCCGCCTGGGCGGTCCTAGCAGCCCGAGCCCGCGAGCAGTTCCGGTGCCAAAACCCTTCCCTCCCCCGCTCCCCCGGAAGTACTTTTTCAAGGTTCGGGCTGGAGAGAGGCCTTGTAGGCACAGCCGCAGAAGCTCCATCAGCTCCAAGTAGGGGCTCCTACGCGGATCGGAGCCCGGGGGTCCGCGCCCAGCGACCTGCGCCCTGACCCCTCCCAGCGCGCGGGCCGATGGTGAGTGGCCTGGGGAGCGGACCGGGACGGCTGCTGGCCGCATCGGAGCTGGCGCTTTCGGGCCCCCGCTACCCGCTCCGGGCTGCGGGCTGGGCTGTCGCGGTTCGGGGAAGCGGGTTGTCGACCGCCGCGGTCTTTGCCGAACCCGCGGGGCGGGAAGGAGCGGGCGGCGGCGCCGTGGGGTGGGCGGGGCGGAGCCGGGGAGGGGGGTTCCCGGAGCTGTTGTTGCTGTTGGGACTCGAGAGTGGGGATGGGCTGGGCCGCGGTCCATCCGATCCCCTCTTTTCTGCTCCCCCAAATCTTTGCGCTGCCTCCCGGATTTGGTTTTCTGTGTCCGACCTGTGGCTGGGAACCTGGACACCGGACCCAATCTTGAGCTCCAATTCCCGATTCGCGTTCTCTGGATCTGTCTTTAGGCTCAGTAATTAGCCCGGGTCCCTAGGGTGTCGTCTCCTAAGTCCCAGGGCCGGTGATGAGTGTGTACATGCCGGGGATCTTTTGCAAAGCTTTTCATCCAGACGCGTTTAGGGGTTGCCTGGGATCGATTTGGACTGCTCTCGGTACCGGTTCTGGATACGTAGATGAGTGTGGCACCAGCGCGTCTCCCATGATCTTTACTCACTGGAAAGCTTGCTCAAGCTCTCGGTGAAGTCACTTCTTAAAACAAACAACTTGCTTGAAGAAAATCAGTGGTTCAGATAAGTTTTCTTGCAGACGTAAGAAATGATGCTGTTCTCTAATCTGTGTTCCTAATTCCTGTGGCCATCTGAAGTCACAGTTCCACGATGAGTTCAGCCTGCGGTTGCACGATTTGATTGCAGAGGGTTGGAGAGTTATTATACCCCCTCTTTCCCGAAGTTTGTATACCTTCCTATTTGAAACTGTCATTTTCCTTAACTTTTAAAGAAAAATTGTTCGAGGTAACTCCTGAGAGGGTCCTTATCCTCTTACAGCTGTTGCTGTGATCCAGAGAGGTTCACGTGGGCAGAAGTGATTTTATTATTACTTTTTTAACTTATAAAGTGTTTACCTCGGATACATTGAGTTTCCGGGAGGAGAAAGTAAGGTAGGCATTTTTAGTAAACAGATTTTAGGTTATAAGTTACTGCTGAAAGATTTCTAGGAAATAAAGATTTCCCACATTTAATAGTGATTTTCAGTTATCATAAGGGAATGAATGCAGTTACTTACTGCAGGTTATGACTATCAGCAGATGGTCATCGTTTTTGCAGTGTAAAGTGTCCACAAACCACCTTTGTGAAACCAGGGACACTTTCCTGCACTTCTCATCATGTGCTTATATTAGGACTTATACTGTAGTTTTTTGGGTATTTACTTACCTCATTCTCCTCCCACCACTGGCAGGGGAGGTAATATCATGAATTAGAGAAAATAGACTGAAGTGACAAGTTCAGTGAGCTCTCCCATGCAAAAGAAAATTTATTTCAAGGTTGTTGATCTTCCAACAGGCAAAAGGTTCCCGGAAAAGATTGTGGAGGGAAGATTAGTTGCCTGAAATTTACATTTAGATAGAAACTGTAGATTCTTAGCCATTTGAAGTGGTTAATTGTTTAGAGCATATGGTTGGAATATTGGAGTTGAGAGAATCAGCAAAAGGAGATATGGTTATGGATTCGTACTGATCGTAGTTAATGTGTTTTGAAGGGAAATGTTTCAAGAATTGTAACAGCAGAAAAAGGTACTTGGGAGAAAATCAGATATTCATAGGCATTGTAAATTTTATTATGTTCGGGTCAGTTCAAAGGATATTGAACATGTGCATTCTCAATTATGTTATTCAAGTCAATTCAACAGATATTGAACATTTGCTATATTAGGCAGCCACATAGTGAGCAAATAAAGATACAGCCCTAACAACTAAGATTCAGGTTTTGGCAATAATTTTCTCCTGTGTGTCAGAAGTCATGAAGAGGGGAATTGTATCATTCAATCATATTAAAACATTTTTCTAGTTGGAGGTGGTGGTGTGTGCTTCATGATTAGGCTTTATAGGATACAAGGATTAAGTCTTTTGTCTTTAGGAATTTGAAATCGAGAAGGGATGTAAGATATTTGCATAAAAATTTACAACATAAACAAATATATGTAAATACTTACCATATGAGTGGTTTGACCTAAAGTTTGGAGTTGTAGGAAAGGAAAATGTATTTATTTTTAGCAAGAGTAATAATGAAAAGTGGTGGAGGTAGTAACACTTATGAAGTTAGCTCTAAAGCTATTATTTATTGAGCACTTAGAGCCATGCTCCCTGATAGTTGTGTTAACATACATTTTCTAAGCTTCAGAACAATATATAAGCATCTTTCTTAATAATGAGGACATTGGTGCTCACATATGTTAAGTAACTCACGGAGACTATATGGCTAGCAGGTAACTGAGTACGATTTTGAATCCAAATTGCTTGGTGCCAAAGCCTGTGTGTTTCCACTACGTCATGCTACCTCCCAATAAACTAGGAACCTGAGTTCAACATTTCAGAGAGTAAGACTTTTCTAAGACAAAAATTTAAGGATTGGGAGTAGGTGAATGAAGAAGGCTTTTTGAATAAAAGGAATGATGTGAGCACAAGTGTGGAGGTGGCAAAGCTCATTGTGTACTCAAAGAAAAGTTAGTGGACCAGATTACCTACCTAGAATATAGGGTTCATTTTGGGGAATAAGAGGTGAGGTTTGAAATTTAATTTGGGTCTAGAATATGTTTAAATGCTGTATTTAGGAGTTCAACATTTGGGAGGTAATGAGAAACTACTGAAGTATTAATAGTGTAGTGTGTAGAATGATTTGTTGTAGAAAGCTGACTTTCAATATAGACTTGACCCTTGAACAACACACGTTAGAACTGAGTGGGGCCACTTATACATGAATTTTTTTCAGTAAATGCATACAGTACTGTAAATATATTTTCTTTATGGTTTCCTTAATAACATTTCCTTTTCTCTAGTTTACTTTATTGTAAGAATATGGCATATAATACATATACAAAATATGTTAATCGGTTGTTCATGTTATCAGTAAGGCCTCCAGTCAACAGTAGGCTATTACTTAAGTTTTGGGGGAGTTAAAAGTTACACATAGATTTTTCGACTGTGTGTGGGGTTGTTGCCCCTAACCCTTACATTGCACAGGGGTCAACTGTAGTGTAAATACTGCGCAAGTGCAGTGGCATTGGGATGATTTAGTAGGTGGGTGGGAGGAAGGACTGTTGGGAAACTTTTGGAGAAAGTGAAAGTTGAAGGCTCCACTCATTTTAAGTGTGGGTGATGGTGATGGTGATGCTTTTATTAAAAATATGGGCAAGGAAGTACATAATGAAATCAGTTTTGAATATGTTGAGTATGTTTTTTATATACTTGCCAAACACTAGAAATGTCCTGAGGCTTTTGGAAATGTGGGTTTGTAGTTCATGAGAGAGGGCAGTGCTAGGCATATATTAAACATGGGTGGAGACAATAATACAAATAGATACACTAGTTGAATCTGTATCTAGATGAACGAATGAAGGGAGAGCTTACAGGCAAAAGAAAAAAAGACCTTTATTTTACTCATAGATGGCATCTGTTTAAAACAAGGAAAAGATACTAAATAGATAATTTTATATAGTAGGTAAAAAATTGATAGCCTGTTGATTACTCCCTCACATTGCAGATTCAGATGGGGTAGATCTGACCATTGAAAATCCAATTGGGAATAAAATTTTCTTGACCTTGTTAGCAAGAATACTATGCTGTCTATTATTGCCCTATTTCAGGGAGGATGAACTATTGTGTTTCAGACTCATTGGGTCCAGCTTGTCAGACTTTGATTACTTAAGAGCTGTTTGGTTGTTTCATTTGGACATTTGCTGGCAAATGATATGTGAGGGTTTAGAAGCAAATCTCTGATACAGTATTCTATTTATTTATATGTATAACTTTCAATTTTGGTTTCAATATCAAGAACCTCTAAACAGTGAAAGGTAATTTTTGTGCCTCGTATTACTACTGGCTACTGATAGTGTCTTTCGTAGAAAATGGTATTTAGTTACATATTTTTCTTCTAAGTACTTTTGATTAACATGAGTAGTTTTGTCTCCAATGTTTTGATTATACTAGAGGGATAGAATAAGATACTTTTTAAGCATCATGTATATAATGACACATATAAAAACTATTTTAATTTGGAAACTAAGAACTATAGATATATAAAATTTTGTGTTTTTCTGTTTAGATATTTAAATAGGGGAAATCTGTATTAATGTGTAAAAGATTGTAATAGTTTGCAGAATGAGGCTTAGAGTTATAACTTTTGAGGTCAAGTTTATTAATTTTAGACTGAGTTTCCATGGAAGTGTTTATTTCCTTTTTGAAATTAATACGTTCAATTTGTTTTTCAGGAAAATGTTTTTCACAATATCACAGCACTTGGAATGTCTTAAGAGTCCTGCGTCAGTGTTGGAGGCAGGGGGTTTTGTGTGTGCTTTGTCTGGGCTGGTTGGCTTAGTTGCAGTGAGCCTGGTATTAATGAGGCAAAGGTCAGGAGTTCCATTTAGCTTCAGTCTGAATGATGGCCAGGGAGTACACCTCTCAGTCCCGCCAGCTGTCTTGGAAATTCCTCGGTTGTCATTGGTCACAAAGGTGACTGGATTAGGGTGGATCTTTATAGCACTGGAAGAATATTAGAGGAAATTTAGTATAATGGTTAGGAACTCTGACTCTGGAATTAGACAGAGCTGTGTCAAAATTCTTGGTCTGC